GCTCTCTGTCTCGCTCTGCTCTCTGTGTGAACTTTGTTCGAGGGCTCCGGCGCCGTCGAGTCTTTTGGGAGAGAAAAGACACTTAGCTTCCTTCGGCGCCGCTCTGATCAGCGGGCGGTCTCCTCTCCGACCGGTCGTCGCCACGCCCCCGCGCGCCCTGCGCCCGCCATCTGAATGACGTGCGCGGGAGAATTTGAAAAGGAGGATTGAATTTCTTGCGCGCGCGGGGCGTGCGGGGGCAGCAGGCGGTGTGCGAACGAACCAATTACCTAATGGAGGAGTTCGGCCGGCGAGCAAGCTGTGGAGCCGATTAGCGTGAGCTACAGTAGTGCTTCGGGGGAGGAAGTGCGGAAGGTCTTTCCAAAGGACCGAGTGGAGTGAACCCCTACCTCGGCCTAGGCCTGGCTCTGCGGCTGGCCGCCGTACAAAGTATTACTCGCTCGCAAACTATTTGCTGGCCGCCAGGGCGGTTGGTGCAATTTTGTCCTTAATTTTCTGGACGAGGCAGTGAAATTTTCAACGACGGCTAAACGTCGTTACCTCCTTTTCGTCCTGCTGCCTTTGAAGGTGCTAAAGAAGAACACCCACGACCCCATTCGTTTCATAGACCTCCAAATTATGTGCGAGCCTTGCACACGGTACGGCCGCCGCCTAACCAGCGGTTAATCTTGGATTTTCATAATTCTTTACACTCCTTGCCCAAGAGGGTGAGGGGGTGCAGGGGGAGCGCAGGGGGTTTCTTTTTTCCCTTTTTTTCGCGTGGCCCTTGTATTTAACCTTTGCCGTCTGCCACATCGTCTGCCGAGACCGTCTTTTTACGGCGGCCTAATTGAAAACAAGCAGGCGGCCATTAGGGGCGGCCTCCACCACCCCGCCTCACCCTGGCCTGGTGGTGGTGCGCGCCCGCACCACCCCGCCCCGCCAACGGCCTCAATCATAGCGCCCACAGCCTCCTCCCCCGCAGCCAGCTGAAAGGAAGGTCCTTCGCGTGTCTCGTCGTTGAGTCTCTTAAATACCGAGCAATAAGAGTAATGTAACAGAACGGTGGTGAAACCTTTACCAGCACTCCCTCTTTTTCTCTACAGGCCCCCTTCCCCTCTTGTCTCTCTCTCTCTCTCTCTCTCTCTCTCTCTCTCTCTCTCTCTCTCTCTCTCTCTCTCTCTCTCGCCAGTGCTGCTGTGGACAGGAGGTGCTGCAGCAGTGGCACGGGGGTGCTGCTTGTGGGTCGCCTGCTCGGCCGCCGGTTGCCCCCGTTCGGTTGCCCGGGTGACCATGTGGGCGTGTTTTGCCGGATCCAGGCTCAGGCGGGTGAAATTATGGGGTTGCCATTGCCGCTGACAGATTTAATTATGCCGCAAAGCTGGCGGTCGCGGGAGAGGTCAGTGCGGAGGAGAACTGCTGCCCGCCTGACCGGCGCCTGGCCGCCTGTTCGGTGAGGGGAGGTTGTCCGCCTCGACTGTCGCCCCAGAGGTCGTTCGGCGGTGGTTGCGATGGAGGGCGGGTCGCGGCCTTGAGTTCGGATAATGCGACAGGCATTGGAACAGCAAAAATCCTTTTTTCTGTCTAAAAAAAAAAAAGTCTGCAGTGGCACACGTGGGAAACAATGCGCCATATTCCACTCCCGCCCCGCCCTTTCACTATCGACCCTCACTCCTTGCGAGCCCACCAATATACACTCACTTGATATTCATTCACTCAACGCAACAACTCATTCAATTTGGTTCAAGTTTCCCCCCGCGCTCTCTCCTGCATCCCCCCGGCCCCGCGCTCACCGGCTCGAAATATGGATAGGGCGCGCGTCTCTCCGCCCCTCGCGACCACCGCCGCTGCTCCCGCGCCCCCCGCGGACGCAAATCTCATTACGTCTTGCCCTTTCTCAAGACACCCCAATGCCCCCCACCCTCCCTTCACCTTTTCCTTCAAACATTCCCCATAATATATATACCTGGCGATCGAGACTAACACCCCCTCCCCTTTCCTCTCCCCCCCCCCTTTCCCCCTGCCAGACGTGGCGCCCCAGAAAAGCTTTTAACGTCGTGTCGAATCCTTGATGGAATGGATACGAGCCGCAAGAAGAGGGGGAGGGGCGGCGCCGTGCACGCTGTACTGCCTATCATCTTCGCTCTACTTGAACCCTCCCCTTCCCCCCGCGCCCCCACTCCTCTCCTCCTCACCCCTCTCGTCTCTACAAACTCCCCGTCCCACTTTTTCCCACCCCCCACACGAAATCCTGCTTATTCCCGCAGCCTCCCCTGTACCAATACACAGGTCCTGCCCACACCTGCCCCATTGTGTGTGGTACGGGAGGGGAGGGTTTTGACGGAGCAAAGACTGGTGCTGCCGCTGCTTGCCCTCGCTTACACACACCGACACGGGGGTGGCGGAGCGTGGCGCGGCGTTGTTCGGGGCGTGAACGATGATTAGCGGGGCGTGTCTGTGTTCCCGCCCGGCCCGCCCGTGGGCCCAGCCCCGCGCCACGCCGCGCCACGCCGCGCCACGCCGCGCTCGGCAGCACCGCCGCCGCTCGCAAAATGGAAATAGCTCTCTCCAAACTTTGTCGGTCCGTTCCGCGTGGGCCGCGCCACGCCGAGCCACACCACCGACCAGGGCGCAGCGCGGGGCAGTGTGCAGTGAGTGCGAGAGAGAGAGGGACAGAGAGAAGGGCAGGAAGGAGATAGTTTGGCGGTCTTAATAAACGGCCGGGTTGTTTCTCCTCTTTTGCGACGATAAATCGAGACGCAGCCCTAATGACCTCCGGTCCGCGCCGCTGACGGCCGCCAAGGACCTTTACTTGGGGTGGGGGGAGTCTGAGCCGAGCCGGGCGGAGGGGGGCGAACAAGGAAAGACGCCGCGCGCTTCCACGAGGAGCCACGTGACATCCCGGTCCGATGAGTATATAGGAGTGACGTGGGCTGTCAGACTGCCCGTCAGACACTAGCACTGCCCTGTTCCGCGCTCCGATCCCGGCCCGGGCGCTCGTTGCTGCGCGTGGCGTACTGTGGGCTCGGCCGGCCGCCCGGTGGGTAGGCAAGGGGCCCGCACGGCTTCGCGACGCGCGGCCTACCCGGCGGGCGGTTTGGGCCTCGAGCGGCGGGGCGTGGAGGCGGACGCAAACCAGCGTCTACCGTGGCCGTGCGGAGCTCCACTGTTTTGTCGTATCGTTTTGTGGTTCCGGGATAAAAGGGAATATTTCAGCCGGCGTGGTGCGCTGGTGCGCGGCCGCTGTCAGACCAGCTGCCAATCGCGTGTGGCCGTCCCTGCTGCCCGCTGCCACACACCCAGCCCAGCACGGTCCGTGGGTCCCCCACATAACAGCCCTCCACCAGCCCTCCACCAGGCCACCACGAGGCCACCACCAGGGCAGCCGCAGCAGGTTATCTTTGCGGTTGACGTATTCCATCCGAGCAGAATGGATTTATTGAAAGGCGGTAGAGGGGCCTCTTGCCCCCCCAACCCCGAGAAATCTGTCGGATTCAGTTGATGTTCTCCCGCGCCATTTTTAAAGCCTCCGCCTCTCTCTCTCTCTCTCTCTCTCTCTCTCTCTCTCTCTCTCTCTCTCTCTCTCTCTCTCTCTTCCCTCCCTTCCCTCTCTTCGCTCTCCCCGCGCTACGCTGCTATTCCGCCCCTGTTCGGTCGCTGGCTCCCGCACTACGAGGCGACGGCTCGGGG